GCAGAGGACCCCATACCATTTCCCATGGTCTGTTTATCTCTATTTTAGCAAGCGCCTTCTAAGAAAGACACACTTTGCATAACTCAAGAAACTTGACCTTAACCCAGTGTCACCGCCTAATGAGTCTTTATGTTCTTTCCGAGCATCAACTATGGATCATCTCACACTGCTGTGGACTCTTTCTCCTTAAGTGACCCGAATATTGTGTTGGTGAGTCTGGGAAAGTTTTTGGCAGAATGTCTTCATTTAGATTTCTCTGGTTATTTGTAATCAAATTCAGGTTAAACCATGGATTACATCTTAAAGTAGACTTGAGACAAAACCTCACCATTGTCCTTTGGTGGGGTTATTGAATGAAAAAATATCCGGATGTAGATTTTAGGTCTGTTATGCTCAGTCTAAAACTGGATAAACAGTGCTCACAGGTAATCCCAGCACACTGGGAGACTGAGGCAGGAGGATAAAAAGTTTTATGTAACTGAGTTCAAAAGTCCTAGGTTCAAGGTGGGGGATGTAGCTCAACTGCACAGCATCTGCCCGGTAAGCATGAGGTCCTGAGTTCAATCCCTAGTACCAAAAAAAAATAATCCCAGCACTGGGGAGGCTGAAGCAGGAGGTCAACCTGAGTTAGATACCAAGACCTTATCTCACAAAACAAAACAAAACAAACAAAAAAACTGAAAAGAAGAGAGAGAGAGCCAAGAGGAGTGAAGGAGGAAAGGAGAGGGCAGTGTTCTGTAGGCTCCCCTGAATCCACACGTCCTGCCAGGTGTGGATCAACTCCTCTCTGCCTCAGCGGCACTGTGTCCAGAGTCAGAGTGAGCCTCTCTTCCACAGGTCAGCTTTGTGATCCGCCTCATTGCTGGCCTGCTGCCAACTCCCTGCCTCCATCAGGGACCCTGAACCTCTTATCCTCTGTGATCTGATCCGTGGCCAGGATGAGTTCCTCTCCCTGGGAAGGGATAAGCGCCTCTAGTTCCTTTTACTCCATCCATCCCTGTGGATCAACCTGCTGCTACCTCTACACCTGCAGTGAGTGCAAGGACCAAGTGGACAGGCGCTGGTGCTACACAGTCTGTAAGGTAGGCGCCAGGTCATGGGCAGGAGGGGAGGGTCCTGCAGGTCCCCATGCTATGAGGGGTGACACAGAAACATTACCTAGACTCATCGGGTGGGACAGCCTGGTCTCCTGTTGAGTGGCAGAGCTGAAGAGGTAATTGTTGATCTATAAAAAGCCCACCTGTAATCCAAGTGCTTCATCAGCTGAGCCAGGAGGAAACAAGTTCAAGACCAGCCTGGACTGCATAGTGACACCCTGTCTCAAGAAAAATAAAAGAAAGAAAGAAAAGCTTTCCTAACTCAACCTATTCAATGCTGAGATCCTGAGAGTTCACCTGCACCTCTGATGTTTTTCCCCAGGATTATGGCTTGTGTGTCTTCTGCTATCACAGTAAACACCATGACCACCCGATGGAGAAACTGGGTCTCAGCTTAGATGATGACCCCAGCAACCAGCAGGCTGCGGCCACCCAGAGCCCAGAACAATCTCACCGCCTGAGCAACCAGCACTGCATCCAATCCCTGGCCCATGCCTGCCAGTGCTGTGATGCTACCTGCTCCCTGCCCTCCTGCCACAAGATGAGTCAGATTGTACAGCACACCAAGGGCTGCAAATGGAAAACCAATGGCAGGTGCCCCATCTGCAAGCAGCTGATTGCTCTCTGCTGTTACCATGCCAAGCACTGCCAGGAGAACAAGTGCCCTGTGCCATTCTGCCTCAACATCACGTGAAAGCGTAGCCAACAGCAGCTGCAACACAGGCTCCAGCAGGCCCAGATGCTGTGCAGGAGGATGGCCAGCATGCAGCGCACTGGTGTGGTGGGGCAGCAACAGGGCCTGCCCTCCCCAACTCCTGCCACTCCAACCACACCAACGGGCCAACAGCCAGCAACTCTGCAAGTGCTAGGCTCATTCCATGGAGCAGCAGGCCAGGTGACCCTTGAGCCCTCTTTCAGGCTGCTCGGCTACTACTTCCAGGGCCCCGACCTGCCACTGTAGAAATGGCAGTGCAGATTCAGACAGCAGCTGAGACACTTGGTTAAATTTTCCAAAGGCCAATACAGTACCTAATGGCCCATGGCTCCCATGGCCCCCATGGGTATGAACCCACCTCCCATGACCAGAGGCCCAGTGGGCATCTGGAGCCAGGGCTAGGGCCCCTGGCAATACAGCAGCAGCACCCTGGGCCCAAGGAGGACTGCCTCAGCCCCGGCAACTCCAGTCCAGTGTGCTAAGGCCAACCATGATCTCTGTGGCCCAACACTGGCTGCCGTTGAACATGGCTCCACAGCCAGGGTTGGGTCAGGTAGGTGTGAGCCCACTCAAACCAGGCACTGAGTCTCAAGCCTTACAAACCCTCCTGTGGACTTGGGCCTCCCAGGTCTCCCCCACAGCAGCAAACCCTTGTGCCCACCCCATGAGTGTTGGCTACACTCACGACACAGTGGGCTGCCAAGTCTGCCAACTCATTCACAGTCTCTCACAGAGCACCCTAGACATACACGAGAGAC